AGAGAGAGAGAGAGAGAAGGGGACGGCAAAGGAGAGTGCGAGAAAGTGAGATGGGTACTCATGAGGAGCACATCTGGCTCGGCACCCTTGCGTGATCCGCCACTCAAAGCTGAAGAAGTCCTCTATGGACTCAAACCAGCCACATACGTGTCGCACATTGTGCTTCTGAGCACTTATGAAACAGATAACTCGGTTTCAGTTCACGCTAGTCTTGCATCGCACATCTGAGGCCGAAGAAGCTGCTGCCGCCAGGGACCTTTGTCTGCTCTTATCGGGGCCTTTATAATTGGGGCTTTTAGGGTTTAGGGTTTAGGGCTTAGGGTTTAGGCTTTAGGGATTTTAGGGTTTAGGGTTTAGGGTTTAGGGTTTAGGGCTAGGGTTTAGGGTCTAGGGTTTAGGGTTTAGGGCTTAGGTTTAGGGTGCTTCAGGGCTTTGAGGGTTGTAAGGCTTCAAGGATCAAACGGCCTGTTAGCTTGAGGGTTTACCCCAGGAAGCCAAGCTCTGAAAGGGTTTAGGGTTTAGGGTTTAGGGTTTAGGGTTTAGGGTTTAGGGTTTAGGGTTTAGGGTTTAGGGTTTAGGGTTTGCCGCAACATCTTCTTGGGGTGTAATTCCCAAACGCGAAGCCCCAAACTCTATGAACCCCAAGCCTGTTTGGGGAGCCCTACAAATTGTATCTTTGTGGCTTTAGAGGGATTATGTATAGGGATTGAGGGTCATAAAATTTCCAAACCTACCATGGAGCCCCCAAGGCTCTACGATTCAGGATGCGGGAATTGGAGCCCTAAACCCTAAACCCTAAACCCTAAACCCTAAAGCGTGAGATGCTTCGGGTTGATGGCTTAAAGGTCGAGGGTATTGGCGGTACATGGACTAGGGTTTCGCCATTTGGGGCACGAGGACTGCCGAAGCGGCTGACTGAGGTGTGTTAGGGCTTAGGCCTTAGGGGCTTAGGGCTTATAGGGCTTCTAGGGCTTAGGGCTTCGGGGCTTGGGGCTTAGGGCTTAGGGCCTCAAGTAGAAATGTGAGCAACCCGGAAAAGGGGAAAGCAGACACCCATCACAGTTTCACGGTGCAAACCGCAATCACAATGCAAAGGCCTCAGCTAGTAATGGCGAAGCAGTCTGTCCTCACAAGACTCAGCTGAACCTAACGTTTCCAAACTCCATCACTGGCCACCGCGGCACCAAGCAAGCAACCAGAAAAAACAAAGGCACAACAGCCACCCATGCAGCGCAATCACACTCAAGTTCCAATGACAACACAAGGCCTCAGCTAGTAATGGCGAAGCGGTCGGTCCTCACAAGACTCAGCTGAACCTAACGTTTCCAAACTCCATCACTGGCCACCGCGGCACCAAGCAAGCAACCAGAAGAAAAGGCACAACAGCCACCCATACAGCGCAATCACACTCAAGTTCCAATGGCAACACAAGGCCTCAGCTAGTAATGGCGAAGCAGTCTGTCCTCACAAGACTCAGCTGAACCTAACGTTTCCAAATTCCATCACTGGCCACCGCGGCACCAAGCAGCCAACTGGAAAACAGCTTGCGCAATCACGCTCAAGATCCAATGACAACACAAGGCCTCAGCTAGTAATGGCGAAGCGGTCGGTCCTCACAAGACTCAGCTGAACCTAACGTTTCCAAACTCCATCACTGGCTACCGCGGCACCAAGCAAGCAACCAGAAAAAACAAAGGCCCGACAGCCACCCATGCAGCGCAATCACACTCAAGTTCCAATGACAACGCAAGGCCTCAGCTAGTAATGGCGAAGCAGTCTGTCCTCACAAGACTCAGCTGAACCTAACGTTTCCAAACTCCATCACTGGCCACCGCGGCACCAAGCAAGCAACCAGAAAAAACAAAGGCACAACAGCCACCCATGCAGCGCAATCACACTCAAGTTCCAATGACAACACAAGGCCTCAGCTAGTAATGGCGAAGCGGTCGGTCCTCACAAGACTCAGCTGAACCTAACGTTTCCAAACTCCATCACTGGCCACCGCGGCACCAAGCAAGCAACCAGAAAAAACAAAGGCACAACAGCCACCCATGCAGCGCAATCACACTCAAGTTCCAATGACAACACAAGGCCTCAGCTAGTAATGGCGAAGCGGTCGGTCCTCACAAGACTCAGCTGAACCTAACGTTTCCAAACTCCATCACTGGCCACCGCGGCACCAAGCAAGCAACCAGAAAAAACAAAGGCACAACAGCCACCCATGTAGCGCAATCACACTCAAGTTCCAATGACAACGCAAGGCCTCAGCTAGCACAAGACTCAGCTGAACCTAACGTTTCCAAATTCCATCACTGGCCACCGCGGCACCAAGCAGCCAACTGGAAAACAGCTTGCCACCCATAACAGGCTCACAGCAGACATTGCAACGACAACGCAAGGCTTTGAAGCGGACTCACAACAACTCAGCTGAACCTAACGTTTCAGAAGTTCCATCACCGGCCAAGCCCTAAACCCTAAACCGGACATGCATCCCAGTCTCGCCACCAGCTGCAGTTTACGGCTTTAGGGTCTTCAGGTCTCAGGCCATTCGGGCTTTAGATCTCTTTTAGGGTTTAGGGTTTAGGGTTTAGGGTTTAATTAGGGTTGAGGGTTACAAACAACCTACCAAAACCAATGAAGCCTACAAACCCTGCAAGCCTTCTGGAGAACTTAGCAGACAAAAGCCCACAAAAGCATAGGCACAGGTATAACGCCATAAACACTAACTAACCCGACAAAGCGCTACAGGCCTTTAGGGTTTAGGGTTTAGGGTTTAGGGTTTAGGGTTTAGGGTTTAGGGTTTAGGGCTCAAACCCTACAAACCATAAACCTAATGACCCATTAAACCCCAACCCCACAACCAACAAGCCCTGTAAGCCCAATAAGCCTTATGAGACCTACAGTATGAGCCCTCCTCCCAAAACCCTAAAGCTCATAACTCTGAACCCTGAACTAACCCCTAGGACCGCAAGACCCTAAAACCCGAAACCCTCAACAATCAGCCACTGACTGGGGCTGTTTCTGTGTGCGGGCACGGCAAGAACCATTGAGGGGTTGGAGTTTAGGTTTTTTGGTGTTTAGGGTTTAGGCAGGATTTCGCGGGTTTTGGTTGAGCTCCCCGCGGGCATTGCAGGGATCATCCTAGCGTGCGCGCTTCAACAACCCCTAAGCCCTAAACCCTACATGCCCTAAATACCCTAACTACCCTAAACCTTATAAATACCCCAAACCCAAACCCTAAACCCTGAATCCTGAACCCTGAACCCAAGACCGTCAACCCCACCCCCCCCCCGTAAGATGGACACTTGAAGGCTATGCTGCACGTGCGTGCCTTGTAAACAAATACTTTACAAAGGAAACACCCGCAGAATAGACGCAACGCACCCGCAGAATAGACGCAATGCACCCTCAGCATCAGCACCCAGTGTCCGGAGGGCGCGGAGGGCGCGGAGGGCGCGGAGGACGCGCGGAGGGCGCGGAGGGCGCGGAGGGCGCGGAGGGCGGGGAGGGCGCGGAGGTCCGGAGGGCGCGGTGGGCGCGGAGGTGCGAGGGCGCGGAGGGCGCGGAGGGGCGCGGAGGGCGGAGGGCGCGGAGGCGCGTAGGGCGCGGAGGACGCGGAGGCGCGGAGGATGCGGAGGGCGCGGATCGCGGAGGCCGCGGAAGGCGCGGAGGGTGCGGGGGGCGCGAGGGCCGGAGCGGCGCGGAGGGCGCAGAGGGGCGCGGAGGGCGCGGAGAGGCGCGGAGGGCGCGGAGGCGCGGAGGGCGCGGGGGCGCGAGGGCGCGAGGGCGCGGAGGGCGCGGAGGGCGCGCCGGAGGGCGCGGAGGGCGCATCGGAGGGCGCCGGAGGGCGCGGAGGGCGCCACGGGCGCAGAGGCCGCACGGGGCGGCGGGCGGCGGAGCGGAGGGCGCGGGGCGCAGAGGGCGCGGAGGGCGCAAAGGGCGGAGGGCCGCGGAGGGGCGGAGGGCGCAAGGGCGGAGGGCGCGCGAGGGCGCGGAGCGCGCGCGGAGGCGGAGGCCGCGGAGGCCGCAGGGCGCGGAGGGCGGCGGAGGGCGCGGAGGGCGGGGAGGGCGCGGAGGGCGCGCACGCTCTCCTGCCCATCGACCGAATGCTCCCCGTCCGCGCTCCCCCCCATCCTTGTTCCCGAACCCGTGCGTCAACCTTACATCCATGCATGGTCCGCCACGCTCCTCGTGTCGTCTCTGTGGCCTCCCGTCAAAATTCATTCCGTCATCCCACCGTCCTCCGTTGACCGTCTCCTCTTCGTGGCCTCTTTCGCCAGAAAGCGATCCGATAGAACGCCTTCCGCGTTGAAGCGCCAAACGAGAACCCAATCCCAGAGAGGTTTGCGAAAACAAAGAGCACGCGCAGAATAGACGTTAAGTGTCCAAGGCACCCCCCCCCCCCCCCCCCCCCCCCCCCCCACACCCCCCTCCCCCCCAGGGGCCGCCACCGAGATGAAGAAGCTCACTGGACCACGTCGGTCAGAAACTCGGACTCCTCCTCCTGAGGTTCAGGGTGTTCTTTAGACTTGGCTGCACTCAGGAGGGTAGCTATAAACTAAACTTTTAGCTGCCATAATAAGAAACCCAATAAACCCAAAAAAGGTAAGGATCTAAAGTTACAGCAAAGTACCACAAAGTAGAGACCCTAAAGCAGAGTTTCTTAGGTCGTTACCTGAAAGCCCTGCATCGACTTGTTAGGTAACCTACCAACAGGATTTAGGGTTGTTAAGGTGTCCGGCCACATGATTACATGCATGCAACCCTATAAACTCCTGAGCCCAAGTTTTAGGTTTAGGGTTTAGGGTTTAACTACCGACGCGCCTTTTTGAGCTTCAGTTCTCGCGCGCCGCCTTCTGACACCGCAGCGAATTTTTCAGGCCCCCGGGGGAGTCCGTGTGTGTTTTTTGTGGTCTATAGGGCTCGGGGTCGTGTGCAAAGTGTAGGCTTCAGGGTCTACTGGGTGCACCTGGAAAGTTTAGGGTTCAGGGCTTTGGGGTTCAACTCTCCCCTGAGGCTTCCGCGCTGTCGTCACTCAACAGCTCGCCGGAGTCTGTTTCGCTACCAGACTGGCAGGAACAACTTACCCTTCCGGCCGTCAGCTGCCCAAGGCTTCGGGCGAAGAAAAACTGCAGCAAGTAGCTGCCCCAAGGAAGCCGCGCCGTACCTGTAATGCCCAGGAAGAGTAGCAGAAGCTCGCCGGCGTGCCAGCTGAACGTGAAAAGCCGCCACGGCCCTCGCGGAAGCGTTCCGCCCGGGTGCAAGGTGACTTGCCACAGGATCCCTATCGCGCCAGCAACGTTGTAAATCGCTGCGCACTTTGTCATGACGTGCAGGACGAAGGCCCTGTGGTCGGGAGGACTCCGTGCGATTCCGACCAGCATGCCCAAACGAGAGCAGATGAATACACATTTCTCCGGAATCACGTGCCAGTCATGCTGGGCCGGAGCGTGAAGAGCAATAACGACCGCAAGAATATTCATAATGAATAGATAGACAACCGGCAGAACGACGGAAGCACGACCGGCATGTTCGATGTCGATCCCGGCAAGCGCCAGCTCACGTAGAGCGGGGCTCGACATTCCAGCCAGCAGCAGCACCTGACAGCCAACTCCACCACAAGTGAACCCTAAACCCTAAACCCTAAACCCTAGACCCTAAACCCTGAACCCTGAACCCTGAACCCTTGAGGGTTGTAGAGCCCAGGGTCAGCCTCAATGCAGGCGTCCACTGATTGCATCCTGTCGCCTATCTCTCCGCGGATGTTCGCTTCGTCTTCCGGCTGCGCGCACTTCGCATACACGATGGAGCCCTGGTATCCTCTCAAACCCCGAACCCTACAGAACTAGTTTTGTATTTTACTACTGCAATCCATGTCATCATACTGGTAGCCCTAAACCCTAAACCCTAAACCCTAAACCCTGAACCCTAAACCCTAAACCCTAAACCCTAAACAGCAGCGCGCTTTTCCACAAGCTGGCGACTTGGAGACCGACTCCAGGGCTTCGGGTTTGGGGTTTGGGGTTTAGGGTTTAGGGTTTAGGGTTTTAGGGTTTCGTGTTTGGGGTTTAGGGTTTGGGGTTTAGGGTTTAGGGTTTGGGGTTTAGGGTTTAGGGTTTAGGGTTTGGGGTTTAGAAAGTTTAGGATTTGGGGTTTAGGGTTTAGGGTTTGGGGTTTAGGGTTTAGGGTTTGGGGTTTAGGGTTTAGGGATCTACCAGTGGGCTTTGGGTTTAGACATCTACCAGTGGTTTCCAAAATCCCCCATGTTCCTGGAACCATGTGCCTGAGGAGCACATATCCATGGAGATCACAAAATCCCTGTTCCCCTAGGAAGAAAAAGGATCCTTTTTGTTCATATATTCGCCTCGGCTTCCTGCCGAGAAGCGTCTGGAACAAGCAGACCCGGATCGGGCCTCCTTCCCCCTAACCCAACCCTTCCCCCCATGCCGAATTTTCTGACTCGAGAGTCCCGCTTGTCCGTGGCTCCTACAGGGGGAGTGCCCCCCCCCCACCCCCCCCCCCCCCCCACCCCCCCCCCCCACCCCCCCCCCCACACCCCCCCACCCCCCCCCCACCCCCCCCCCACCCCCCCACCCCCCCCCCCCCCCCCCCCCACCCCCCCCCCCCCCCCCCCCCCCCCCCCCCCCCCACCCCTCCCCCGACCCCCCCCCCCACCCGCTCTGCCCTTCCCTTTTTTGGAGAAACCCTCTTTCCTCCTTTCCTGTCCTGGGGCCGGCCCGGCTGCCGAGGCGGCGCGCGCAAGCGTTTACAATTAGAAAGCCCATAACCCAAAAAGTAAAAAGGATCCCTAACACTGATCGAGATCATGGGCAAGCCCGATGATTACCAAGAAATTGGGAGACAAAGGTCGTGTAAAACGTTGACTTTTCAATGCCTCCCCCGAACCCTGAACCCTAAACCCTAAACCCTAAACCCTAAACCCTAAACTTCCATGGTCTCAGACATGTCTCAGGACCTCAGGCTCATACACCAAAAACAAACATGGACCTTTTTGAAAACATTGGTTGTAGGGTTTAGGGTTTAGGGTCTAGGGTCTAGGGTTGAAGGCTTAGGGTGTAGGATCCGCCCTCGAGATTCATTCACAACATTGGTTCGTACTCTTGCATCGCAAACCTGGTTTTTGAACGTCTAGCCACTATATCTTAGTTGCTGAATATCGGCCACTCAGAAAGTATATCTCTACACTTGCAATTGGCCTCCAAATATGTGAGTCAACTTTGCCGAAATATGCACATCTATACGTTGCAGTAGGGAATACAAGTGATCCAGCGCAAATATTGCGATTAATGTAGTTGCAACAAGACAGTTAAAACATTGAAGCTATGTATACGATTAGCCACCCAACATTGAACCGCAGAATCAAAGGCTACCAGCGGCTACAAATATGAGAAGGCAACGCTGCCCTGCATTATCTTCCAACAAAGCTCCCGGCTTCTACATAGAGAGGTCATAACCCTAAACCCTAAACCCTAAACGTCATATGTATGTATATATAGATATATCTATCTATAATATATGTAGCCAATTCTCTGAATCATGGTCTCTTTTGGGGTTCCCTAAACAAGAGGGGCCGCCTTCCAATAAGGACCCCCCCAAAAGGGACCATATTTTCGAGAAGTGACCTGCTGCTGCTGATCTATGCTCCGGCGGGATGGAGGTTTAGGGTTTAGGGTTTAGGGTTTAGGGTTTAGGGTTTAGGGTTTAGGGTTTAGGGCTTCGGGCTTTGGGCTTCGGGCTTAGGGTCTGGGGCTTGGGGTTGGGGTGAAAAGCCGCTTCCCAGCAACGCGCGTCCTTTGGCAAGTTGCTGTGCCTCGAGCACTCCGCAGATGCACGTCACGCGGTCCAAATCCTTGCATGGGCTGGTTGATGCGGTTTAGGGTTTAGGGCTTAGGGTTTAGGGTTTAGGGTTTAGGGCTTAGGGTTTAGGGCTTAGGGTTTAGGGTTTCTTTTTTCATGGATGGCATGCTGTAGTGCGTAGAGCTACCATGAAGAATCTTGAAGAGCTTCGCCGAGCTTCCAGCCAGAAGAAGGTGAAAGAGTAGTGGACGATCTCCTGGATCCAGCAAGGGATGAGAGGCATCAATTTGGGCGGCACACCGCTTAGGAGGGAGCCCATCTGCGTTGCGTCGCCTCTTGCGACGCCTGGACCCCAATGAAAGAAGGCAAAGCAAGACAAGAACTGGCCCACCAGGTTTACGCAGTGCTTCTGTGCATGGCTCTCTGCGGCCATACTCCACAACCCGAGCAGCGCGGCGCTGTGGAGAAGCACCAGGCACAACGCCACGCTCCAGGGCCCTGCGGCCATCACACAGCCGAGGAAGGTGCCAAGGAATGCAGCGAAGCACATGTCCAGCATTGCTCTGAGCAATTCTGGCTCAGTGGAGGGTCTGGCAACAAAGACCATCTTCCCTTGCCTTGGTAAGCCCAGGAACCTTGTTCTAAAAATCCCGTTTTTTGGGGGTTGGCTACTTTCATGAGGGAACCCAGGACCCCCCCCCCCCCCCCCCCTTTAAAAAAAATAACAAAAACGCCCTAAACCCTAAACCCTAAACCTTAAACCCTTGCACTGGGCTGCCACGTGGCTCCTGAGCCAGGTACCCTTCGTAAGCACACCAGAGCCTGGTATAGATGGAGGCATGGCGATTTGGCCTCGGATGGGCCCTTAACAACACTCGGAAGATTAGATTCCTAAACATGAGACTTTCTTGAACCCAAGCAAGGAAAGAAAACACCGAACATGTATCCCAAAGGCTCTGGAAGAGCATTTTCCTACACATGATCCTGGTAAACCACATACATGCAAAAAATGAAAACCCCAAACCCAAAACCCTAAACCCCAAACCCCAAACCCCAAACCCCAAACCCTAAACCCTAAACCCTAAACCCTAAACCCTAAGCCTAGCGGCACCACCAAGACCTGCGACGAGGCCCGAAGCGCATGGGCAAAGGGAGAACTCCGTGGCGACTGGATCAGGGCCCCGATGTCCAGGTTCTGCGGGTTCGCCAGCATGCAACCTTGAACTTCGGGGGTTTAGGGTTTAGGGTTTAGGGTTTAGGGTTTAGGGCTAGCCCGAAAGTTGCCCACAACTTGGTTAGGGTTTTAGGGCTTGTAGGTGTCAGGGTCAAAAGGGTTTGGGGGTACTAGGGTTGTGGGTTCATGAGTAGTCCGAATATGGGCTCGCAGGGAGCATAGCAGGTATAGGGCGTCATCGATCCCCATTCGTTTAGGGGAGGGTTAGGGTTTAGGGTTTGGGGTTTGGGGTTTGGGGTTTAGGGTTTAGGGTTTCGGGTTTAGGGTTTATGGTTTAGGGTTTATAAGCCATCCCAGGAACACCAGGCATTGCGGGACCGCCAAGGCCAGGACGCCAAGGCCTTGGAGATAAACTCGAAAATCCCCTCCTTAGTTGCTGAGTTCATAAAGGGTTTGGGTTTAGGGTTTAGGGTTCATCGTATCCCAAAAGGTGTAAAGTGTACTGACTCAGATGCTAAGTCCTGCCAGGCGTGGCTGATGAAGAGATGGCAGTCCAGCCCACCTGGTTCCGAGAGTCGGGGGAGGTTCTTTGGGGTTTTCTCAAGATTTCTAGGGTTTATAGGGTTTGTTTCGGGTTTATAGGGTTTATAGGGTTTATAGGGTTTCTAGGGTTTCTAGGGTTTCTAGGGTTTATAGGGTTTGTTTCGGGTTTATAGGGCTTAGAGAGTGTATAGGGTTTATAGGGCTGTGCTTTTCTGGGGTTTGGGGTTGGGGCTTTGGGCTTGAAGCCTTTGCTTGGGCTTTGTTGGGGTACCCTGAGCAGCAAAGCAGTCCGGCATAAGCAGCATCGGTAGGGAAGCTCCGGCACCTACCGAAACGGGGGGGGGGGGGGGCGGGGGGCGCCTAAGCTCTAAGCCCTAAAGGGCTGAAGGTGGGTCTGGAGGCCCCTACAAGGTCTCCAGAGGAAGATATCTTTATTGCTGAAGTTGACGAGGTAATGAGAGAAAAGACATGCGAACTCAAGCAGCCGATGCCCTTCGCCCGAAGATGATGAGATGAGGGTGGCTTTTTGCCGCCTTCGGCGGCCCTCCACTATCAAGCCATGGCGGCTTCGCATATTGCATAATTCACGAAGCCTTCGAAAAAAATCTCATTGTCCTTGCGCTCTTCAGGCAAAAAAAGACGAAAGAGTCGACCTCATGTGTGTAAAACCACAGCAAAGAAGCCCAAATCAAACTCCCCAATCTGCAATCCCTATAAACCCTAAATCCTAAACCCTAAACTCTGAACCCTGAACACTGAACACTGAACCCTAAACCCTAAACCCCAAACCCCAAACCCTGCCTGGGTTCCTCATCAAGGCCCAGCTCATCTTGCCCGCGCGCGCGGTCACCGGCTTGATGTACTGCGCCGTCACTGTGTAGACCTAGGGTTTAGGGTTTAGGGCTTAGGCCTTGGGGCCTGTAAGGCTTCGAAGTGTCCAGGGGCTCCCCAACTGCCCTCTTTTTTTCCCAAAGTACCTGCTTGAAAGCACCCTCTAACACACAAGCCTGAACCCTAAACCCGAACCCCTTGACCCTGAACCCTAAAACCTAAACCCTAAACCTCAAAAGGGTCCAGGCTTTAGGGATTGCGAAGTTCCCTCGTAAGCCAAGCCTGTGAAGAATCGCCTTGTTGTTAATTAAGGTGCACAAAGAGAACCTCAAACCCCAACTCAAACCCTAAGACCCCAAGACCCTAAACCCCAAACCCTACACCCCTGAGGGCATCCTCGAGACGTTGGGGCCATTCTGCAAGTCCTCAAGAAAGTCGTCGAGGCCATTCCCGGGCGGCAGTATCCGATTTTCTTCGATGGCTCGCTTCACGTCTGCCCGAAGGAACTTCAGGTCCTTGCGGGTCACGCACCAGCGCTCCGGTGGTACCGTCTCCTGGTGTGCGTGCGTGCCTGCGTGCGTGCGTGCGTGCGTGCGTGTGTGTGTGTGTGTGTGTGGCAGGCTATCTAAAAGGGATAGATCATGTAGGCTTTTGTTGATTGCTAAACATCCTCAGAAGGACGGCCTACCCATAGATGCATACACACATGTGCCTACACAAGGCACCCCTACATACACCCAACATTACATAGGAACAAGGGCACACGAAACTTTAGAGCTCTTTCCATTCTAGATAGTAATGCACGAAACAAAACCTAATCACATCAGACTATTGCAATACAATAACTAAACCCTAAACCCTAAACCCTAAACCCTAAACCCTAAACCCTAAACCCTAAACCCTAAAAACAAATCGAATCATCTCGTAACAGTGCCCAGTCTCATGCAAGGCAACGGCCTGCAATGTTCGGCGGCTGGGCCCCTCCATCCCGCAAGGCCGGCGCAGCAAACACTTTCGAGGCTTAGGGTTTTAGGGTTTAGGGTTTAGGGTTTAGGGTTTAGGGTTTAGGGTTTAGGGTTTAGGGTTTAGGGGTTTAGGGGTTTAGGGGTTTAGGGGTTTAGGGTTTAGGGCTACTTCTAGCTTCTGGCGTCCCGGTGTTCGAATTGCAGGTTTAGGGCTTCTAAACCCTTACCTGATATGAATCCCTAGCCACCCAAACAGGGATCCTAAGCCTAAGAACTGTCTGCGAAACCTGTAGGGTTTAGGGTTTAGGGTTTAGGGTTTAGGGTTTAGGGTTTAGGGTTTAGGGCAGCCCGTGCCTGAGGTCCTTGCCACCTCGTGCACATCAGGTCGGTAAGAAATGGCTGGCTACCAGTAGACCACAGAGCCCCCCCCCCCCCCCCCCACCCCAAAAAGAAAAAAGAATAAAACGGATCAGATGCTCTTGTGGGAAATACTTGGGCCGTTGCTTTTTGGTGTGCAAGTATCTATTACTATATCACCGAAAAATCGAGAACCAAGGCCTAAGGCAACCTCTTGGTTGGGCCCCCTTCAAAGTTTAGGGTTTAGGGTTTAGGGTGTAGGGTGTAGGGTTTCAGGGTTCAGGGTTCAGGGTTTAGGGTTTAGGGTTTAGGGTTTAGGGTTTAGGGTTTAGGGACTCGTGCTGTGTCATTTGGCAGAGCTAGCTCGGATCTGCCACCAGGGTCTTAGGGCCTGGGGCTTGTCCAGGTCCGAGACGCCCCTCCTCCCATCATCATGATGTCAACTTCGCCACCCCTTAGAGGCCCGAAAGCCCGAAAGCCCTGCAAGTTTAGGGTTTAGGGTTTAGGGTTTAGGATTTAGGGTTTAGGGTTTCAGAGCCAAGGGATCCTTTACCTCGAACTCAGCATGCGGGGGCCTGGGCGTGCGAAGAAGGGTCCGCAAATCCCCCACTACAATGGCCATTAGGGTTTAGGGCTTAGCCTCAAAACAAGAAGCCCTGAACCCTAAATCCGAAACCCTAAACCCTAAACCCTAGCCCTAAACCCTAAACCCTGATGAGCTTGTTAGGGCTTCGTGGCACAGGGGCGCAGGAACGCAAGCTTCAGAAGCCATCGTAGGCGAACCCGGCCCTCAAAGCCAGTAACCTCAATAGTCTTCCGACTCAAGGCCTAAACCCTAAACCCTAAACCCTAAACCCTAAACCCTAAACCCTAAACCCTCGCAGCCTCGAAGGCCTCGTCCAGCTCCTCGTTCTCGGGCACCGGGAGCTCCTTCCAGGCTTAGGGTTCTGGCCTTTCAAGAATTCACAAGGGTTTAGGGTTTAGGGTTTAGGGTTTAGGCTTTAGGCTTTAGGGTTTAGGCTTTAGGGTTTAGGGTTTAGGGTAGTTTACACACGTATCACGTATCCTTCTCAATTTCCTACTCTAAACCAGCCACTCCAACCCGCACCCGGCAAGATTCATCAAAGCCCTTTGTGAGTGGGTGAGAAGCAGGCTCGGCCTTCCCAAACCCTGGTGCGCTTCGCAGGGTAAGGGTGTAGGGTTTGCCGTTGTTTAGAACCGAAGGTATGCCCACAACCCCTAAACCGTTCAACCTTAAAATCTAACACCTAAGCCTTGAACAAGATCATCCCTAAACCTATAGATCCAAACCCTAGACCCTGGACCCCAAACCCTAAACCCTAAACCCTAAACCCTAAACCCTAAACCCTAAACCCTAAACCCTAAACCCTAAACCCTAAACCCTAAACCCTAAACCCTAAACCCTAAACCGCAACCCGGAAAGTGGCGAAGTCGGCGTCCACCCGTCCTCGGCCAGTGGCTTCTCGGCGCCCACTTGCTTCAGAAGCCCCACCGACTCCTAGTGAAAGGTTTTCGGATTTAGGGTTTAGGGTTTAGGGTTTAGGATTTAGGGTAGGGTGAGGGAATGAGGTACCCCATGTAATCCCTTAACGAAATATGAAGGTACCCTTCTGGGTTCAAGGGTTTTAGGACTTCAACAGGCAAATCTTTGGTGAGCCGACCCAGTGTGTCTACGTTTGGTATCTTAACGGAATCAGGTACCCCAAAACCCTATGTAGCATGGCTTTTGGTGTCCAAGTTCATAAGGCGGACCCCCTGGGTGAGAGCTTGAATGCTCATGCAACAGAAGCACGGCGCTGAAGCTCAAGGAGTGGGTGAGGGGTTGCGCATGCCCTAAACCCTAAACCCTAAACCCTAAACCCTAAACCCTAAACCCTAAACCCTAAAACCTAACTAAACCCTAAACCCTAAACCCTAAACCCCAAACCCCAAACCCCAAACCCTAAACCCTAAACCCTAAACCCTAAACCCTAAACCCTAAACCCTAAACCCGAAACCCAACCCTGAGTTCCCAAAAGAGGCAGATCCTTGAGCACGCGCTCAGCGTCATCCAGTTGGGCCTCTGACTCTGGATATGCGGAGTTGGATGTCTAGACCCGGGAGTAACCTAGGAACCAAAAGGGTACCCCTTTTGGTTTAAGGGGACTGCAAGGGAGCCCCAACCCTAAAAAAGGAAAAAAGGGCCTACTCCCAGCCCTAGGTGTAGAAGGCTTATGGACGTGTGGGGAAGGCGGGGAGGGGCAGCGTTAAGCGTTTTAGGGGGGGGGGGGGGGGGGGGGGGGGGGGGCAGGTTTTAGGGTTTAGGGCTTCTGGGGTTTGGGGTTAGTATCGGGTCTATCGTCTATGGTAGGGTTGAGGGCCAGTACTTCGAGTTTGGGGCTTAAGCCTTCTCGGTGCCCTCGGATGCCTTGGTCATCCCTCGAATTCTCAAGATTTCCCGATCCAACACCCCTGAAAACCCCTAAGCCCCCCAAAAACCCTACAACCTGGGGATGTTCCCCGTTATACTAACAGCCCTTAATCGGGATTATCAGAGGTGGTACTATAATCCTTATTAAGGACTGCTAGTGTCGGGGGGAACATCCAACCTAAACCCCTAAGCTCGTCAGCAACCCTAAACCCTAAACCCTAAACCCTAAACCCTAAACCCTAAACCCTAAACCCAGAACCCAGCAACCCTAACCCCTAGATCCTAAATCCTAAACCCTAAACCCTAAATCCCCAAGTCTCCCTCCACGTCCACGGAGCCTCCTCCTCGTCTCCATCGCCAGACTGAGCCACAGAGATGCTCCGTTCGATTGTTTCCTGGCACAGGTCACACACACACACAGATTCCGAGGGCTCAGGGCTCAGTGTGCACTCACCTTACACAACCCTAGATAGATAGATAGATATGTATATGTATATGTATATGTATATGTATATGTATATGTATATGTATATGTATATGCATATGTATATGTATATGTATATGTATATGTATATGTATATACACATGATGACATGTGCATATGCTTCTGCATATTTTCTATATATATATATATGTATATGTACACACAAAACCAAGTCTCGCCCTTTGAACTCCGCCCTATGCCCCCATAAGCCCGAAACCTACTGCGGCTTTACCTGAACAACAAGCTTGGGGAGACCAAATGAACCCGGAAAATTGGGATCACATAGGCTACACTACCAGGACCCTCAATCAAGGTAGAGTATGTGGACCATAAACCCCTGGGATTCATGTGGGTTTACGGCTTCAGGGACAAGGGGTTTAGGGGTTTAGGGTTGGGATGCTCCCCCTGATTCTGAGAGTCCTTAATAGGGGTTGTTGATTAGAGTACCCCCTATGAGAACCCTGATTAAGGACGGTGCGTGTACGGGGGAACATCTCAAGTTTTGGGGGTTTAGGGGTTAAGGGTTTACCTGGATCACAGCTGGGTCTGCTGCCATCTGCTCACGCGGCGGGTCCTCCGCAGGTGGGAGGGAAATCTCTGCCTGGCGCGTGCGGCTTTAGGTGCACGGGCCCCCCCCACACCCCCAAAGCCTCAACCAACAAAAAACCGAGCAAACCTGAAACCCAACCCCCCCCCCAAAAAAAGCCGAAACCCAAGCCCGAAGCGCCAAAGCCCCCCAAAAACAGCCGACCCCAAAACCCAAAACCCCAAACCCCCCCCCCCCCCCCAAAGAAAAATGAAAGAATAAACAAACGAACGCCAAATCCTAAACCCCCCCCCAATATCCGAACCCAAACCCAGAACCCTAAACCCTAGACACCCAAAAGCCAAACCCAAACCCTAAACCCTAAACACCCGAACAAGCGAACCGCAAACCCTGAACCCCAAACCCCAAACCCCAAACCCCATACCCCCTAAACCCTAAACCCTAAACCCTAAACCCTAAACCCTAAACCCTAAACCCTAAACCCTAAACCCTAAACCCTAAACCCTAAACCCTAAACCCTAAACCCTAAACCCTAAACCCTAAACCCTAAACCCACACCCCAACAGGAACTGGGCCCGCCGACCATCTGCTCACGCTGCGGTTCCTCCGCGGGTGGAAGGCCCTCAGCCTTCAGCTGGCTGAGACTCCGTAGGGCTTTAGGAATTAAGTAGGGTTTAGGGTTTAGGGTTTAGGGTTTGGGGTTTGGGGTTTGGGTTTAGGGTTTGGGGTTTGGGTTTAGGGTTTTGAGTTTAGGGTTTATGGTTTAGGGT